AAGTCTCTGAGATCCTTTTGATGGTCATTAAGGTAAAATTATTTTTATAATAATACCAAGATTTTAAATAAAATGAAAATCCTGTTTCATTCTTATTCTCTTGAGTTACAGTATAAATGTTCAGCACAACATATGTGATACTGTGACAGATACAGGGTGAATGCAGAAGCAGACAAAAAAATCTTAATATCTTTTATTAAATCAGACATGAAAGAGATTTTAAGAATAAAACTACTCTTCTTACTAAATTTTGCTCATTAAACTAAGTACCTCACCTTCTCATCAAATTAAAAAAGTAGTTATTTTTCATCAAAAGTATGTTATTTGTATTAACACATAATTTATTTATTTTGATATTTTATATGTATTTTAATATTTTAAAATGATTCATAGCTGAATATTTTTAATTTCTACCATCAAAATTATTTTTAATGATTAGTCACCTGATTATTCCATTAGGTCCTTATTTAATCCTATTAATATTTGAAACTACCTGAACTACCTGAGTTGCAAAAGGTCATTCTCATTTTTAAAAACAATATTAATATTTCAGAATCTTAATTTATTTTGTGTCCTGGAGGTTTTCTAAGACAGAAAAATTTTCCACAGTGAGATCCATGATAGATAAGAAATGTGAGGGGGCTTCAAAAATTTATGGAAAATGTGTATTATGAAAAACTACGCATATATTAAAAATGTTTTTGCACTAAAATAAACTTGTACTAACTTGTCTGAACAGGATCTAGTTTGAGGCACTAAGAAGGATAAAACATTAGGTTGAAAAGAGCCCTATCAGAGCAACATGAATTTTGCTAAAATTGAAGTAAGAACAAACATCAAATTGATGGTGAAGTTTGGGTGGGAGACTTGGGAAATCGTCAATGCTTTACAAAAAGTTTATGAGAACACCACCTCAAGAATCAGCAATTTACAAATCAATAACTCAGTTTAAGAAGGGACAAGATGATCTGAAGATGTGGTAGACTGTCCACATCAATTTGTGAGAAAAAATTTATCATGTTTGTGTCCCAGCTGAGGAGCACTGATGATTAACAGCAGGAACAGTAGCCAGCACCACAGACATTACAGTTGGTTCAGCTTACACAATTCTGACTGAAAAACTAAAGTTGAGTCAACTTTTCAGTCAATAGTTGCCAAAACTGTAGTGCCCAGATTAGTGCAGTCAAGCGCAGAGCTTTCAATGGAAATTATAAACAAGTAGGAGTAGGATCCTGAAGTATTTCTTTGATGAATTGGAACAGGAGATGAATTGACCAGCATTATCCTAAAGACAAAGTACAATCAAAGCAATGGCTACCAAGAGGTGGAAGTGTTGCAGGCAAAGCAGAAGTGGGCCAGTCAAGAGCAAGGGTTGTGGCAACAGTTTTTTGGGATGCTCGAGGCATTTTGCTTGTTGGCTTTCTGGAAGGCCAGAGAATGAGAACATCTGCTTATGATGAGAATGTGTTGAGAAAGGCAGTTAAAGCTTTAGCAGAAAAATGCTTCTCAGGCTGGGTGCAGTGCCTCAAGTCTATATTCCCAGCACTTTGGGAGGCTAATGTGGGCAGATCACCTGAGGTTTGGAGTTTGAGACCAGCCTGGCCAACATGGCGAAACCCTGTCTCTACTAAAAATACAAAAATTAGCCAGGTGTACCCGTAATTCTAGCTACTCGGGGAGCTGAGGCAGAAGAATCATTTGAACCCAGGAGTTGGAGGTTGCAGTGAGCCAGGATTGAGCCACTGCACTCCAGACTAGGCAACGAGAGCGAGACTCTGTCTCAAAAAAAAAAAAAAAAAAAAAAAAAAATGTTCTCACTGGAGAGTTTTTCTCCACCACGGCAATGCTCCTGCTCGTTCCTCTCATCAAACATGAGCAATTTTGTGAGGTCGGATGGGAAATCACTAGGCATCCACCTTACAGTCTTGATTTTGCTCCTTTCGACTTGTTTCCTAATCTTAAAACATCTTTAAGATCAGATGCACCTATTTTTCTTCAGTTAATAATGTAAAAGGACTTCATTGACATTAAATTCCCAGAACCCTTAGTTCTTTAAGAGTGGACTAAATGGCTGGTATCATTGCTTACCAAAGTTTCCTTTTTTTTTTTTTTTTTTTGTCTCCCAGGCTCCCAGGCTGGAGTGCAGAGGCACGATCTCGGCTCACTGCAACCTCCACTTCCCAGGTTCAAGTGATTCTTTCACCTCAGCCTCCTGAATAGCTGGGATTACAGGCACCTGTCACCATGCCCAGCTAATTTTTGTATTTTTAGTAGAGACAGGGTTTCACCATCTTTGCCAGGCTGATTTCGAACTCTTGACCTCAAGTGATCCACCCACCTCCGCCTCCCAAAATTCTGAGATTACAGGTGTGAGCCACTGCACCTGGTCAAAAAGTGTCATTTTTAAAAAAATTAATTTTGATTTTAAAAGTTGACAGACAGTAGTAATGCATATTCATGGGATACATAGTGGTGTTTTGATACACATAACATATAAAGATCAGATCAGGGTAATTAGCATAATCATAATCTCAAATATTTATCATTTCTTTACGTTAGGAATGTTCAATACTTTTTTCTAGTTATTTGAAACTGTATATTATTGTTACCTACAGCCATTCAACAGTGGTGTAGCACACCAGTGCTTATTCGCCCTAGCTAGTTGTAATTCAGTGTCTTGAACTTGATGGAGCTTATGTTGAACAATGAAGTTTATATTTTTTATGATGTGTTTCTTTTTATTCTATAAATTTTATTCTGTAACCTACTTTATTTATTTATTTATTTACTTATTTATTTATTTATTTTTGAAACAAAGTCTTGCTCTGGAGTGCAGTGGCATGATCTTGGTTCACTGCAACCTCTGCCTCCTGGGGTTCAAGTGATTCTCATGCCTCAGCCTCCCAAGTAGCTGTAATTACAGGCATGCACCAACATGCCTGGCTCATTTTTGTGTATTTAGTAGAGACCGGGTTTCACCATGTTGGCCAGGCTGGTTTCGAACTCCTGGCCTTGGTCTGCCAAAGTGCTAGGATTACAGGCGTGAGCCACCACACCTGGCTGACAATCTACTTTTAATTTCATTTCTCCATGAACTTTTTGAAATTCCCTCATAGATCTGACTTTTGAAGGTGAGAAAAGAGTGACTATGAAAGGGGAGGAAAAAGGAGAACATGTCCTCAGGCAGGTATGTCTCAGGACAGTACATACGTGAGAGTCAAGGAGGGAAATTAAACCTTAGGACCACCTTAGGAAGTCTTCAGGTTCCCCCAGGAGTAGCGTATCCCAGTTGGTAGACACCTGATTTTGATGGTCTAGGTGGTAATCTCACACCTCATATATTAATGGTATCATGGGGACATGTATGCAGGAGTTTAGGGAGGAAGTATGATGCTGGAATAACTGATAGCTGCAATTGGTTTGAAGAATGTTGAAAGTAAACAAAATGGATTTCTCTAGTGGTCTGGAATTTGTGAAGCACCTTGTGTATTTACTTTGATGATCATATTAACTTTGTGGGACATCTTTTTTTTTTTTTTTCTTTTGAGACAGGGTCTCACTCTGTCATCCATGATGGCGTGCAATGGCATAATCTCGGCTCATTGCAGCCTTGACCTCCTGGGCTCAAGTGATCCTGAATAGTTGGGACACCAGGTGCATGCCACCATGCCCAGTTAATTTTTGTATTAATTAATTAATTAATTATTATTTTTTTTTGTAGAGACAGGGTTTCAATATTCTGCCCAGGTTGGTCTCAAACTACTGGGCTCAAGTGATCCACCTGCCTTGGTTTCCCAAAGTGTTAGGATTACAGGTGTGAGCCACTGTGCTTGGACAAGACAGGGATTTTTGTATCCCTTTTATAGATTGAAAATAAAGGCTCAAAAAATTAAAAAATTAATTAATTATTTAAAAAACAGAGTCTTGCTCTGTTGCCCAGGCTGTAGTGCAGTGGTGGGATCAGAGCCCTCTGCCACCTTGAACTCATGGGCGCGAATAATCCTCTTGCCTCAGACTCTCAAGTAGCTGGGACTGCAGGTGTATACCAGAGAACTTCTCAAAATTTTTTTAGACATATGGCCTTCCTATGTTGTCCAGACTAGTTTTAAACTCCTAGCCTCAAGAGATCTTCCTGCTTCAGTCTCCTGAGCAACTGAAAGAATGTTTTTTTGATAGATGGTTCATCCAGGAAGTCCTTTAATAGCACTTTTAATTATTAGCACTAGTGGCAAAATATTTTTGGAAGTTTGAATACTAATTTACTCTCATTTTGCCCTAAAACTTGACAGTTTATAAGTAAGTTATTCAGCTTCTGCATATCTGAAACAAGGTGGCTAATAAATCATTAACCACTAGCAAATCTGTAACCACCTAACACACTGGACATGGAATATATTTCACGGTGCATATTTACATTTGTTACATATTGATGGAGCTGAGCTGTATATAGTGAGAAATGTTATTAACCCTATCCATACCTTTCTTTTTTGGGGTCTCTACTGCAGTTTGCATTAATCCCCCTCACTATGGAAGAACTGCAGTGGTCAGTGTTACAAGCTTAAATCAGATTAATTTCTACTTTTTAGGTGAATGGAGCAAAAGTATCACGTTGGGTTATTTGAGTGATTATGATTACTTTTTTCAATGTCATTTCTCACACTCAAGCATACCAAAATTAAACATTAAATGCCATTATCACGAGTTCTGAATATAAACACTTGAGGACAGGCGGAATTATATGATTTATAATTCTTTGTACTGTATGTTTTAGATGTTCAAAAATACTCTGCTTATTAAAAATTAAATTTGTGGCTCTTATGAGAAAGTGAATGATGAGGTAGCTATGAAGAGACCAGGATTTGTCTTCACATTGCTGAGTGTCCTCTCCTTGACTGCTGTGCTTCCTACTTCCAAAGAAAGTTCTAGACCTGGAGTATTGTGTTAGTGTCCTGAGGCAGTTTCTGTAAGGGCTTTCTTTCATTTCCAAAAAAGAAAAAGAATCAGTGTTCCAAATATGTTTTAATCTGTGTATCATCCAGGTAGCATAATGTTATATTTCAAAGACAAATTTTCCATGTAATTATTGCTTTTAAAAGTTGAGATTCTCTACATAGAATAAATTTTCTGAAATTTCAAAAATATTTTCAGGTAAATTAAGAATTAATTTCTTCTAAGTCTCAATCTATTCCATAATATAATCATTGGTAAAGATTCGCGTGTGTCAGCAAATTTGAGGCAGCTTAGTTGAAAAAATTTGAAACAGCTTACTGAATTCCTGGAAGAAAATAAAACACCTTTTAAATGTAGGTAAAAAGCATATTGAACTTAAATATTTTTACTTGAGATCAACGTTTCTTTTCCAAGATTAGGAGAATTAGTATCAAATTATTCTTTAGTTATCGCTAAAGATATTTGGTTCCAGAAATTTTCACATGTTAAACAATTAGCTTTGCTTGTTGATATGAGAAAGCTTTTTTGCAACATTTCTTAAGTTCCATCTAAGACGGGCAGATGGGTTTATCTGCTCTGCTAGCTATCGTTAGTGGCTGCTTGCAGGATTACAGTAGGAAGATTCTGAGGCTCCGTCAGTGAGTGGGAGACAGGATCATGATGAACTGAAGTGTGTCTGCTATAGACCTCTATATGCATGTATGTGTGTTTGTATGCATGTGTGTTGGGGTGAGGAACACAGTCTGCTTCTAAATATTTTCAGCTTTGACCCAAAATGGAGCATGTGTTATGCCAACAATTAAAAGCCTTTCAGGCTAGGTGGCTCATGCCTGTAATCCCAGCATTTTGGAAGGCTGAGGCAGGCGGATTGCTTGAGGCCAGGAGTTCTAGACCAGCCTGGGCAACACGGCAAAACCCTCTCTACAAATAATACAAAAAGTAGCCAGTGTGTCTGGGCGTGGTGGCTCATGCCTGTTACCCCAGGACTTCGGGAGGCTGAAGTGGGCCTCCCATTTAAGGTTACTTAAGGTCAGGAGTTTGACAGCAGCCTGCCCAACATGGTGAAATCCTGTCTCTACTAAAAACACAAGAATTAGCCAGGTATGGTGGCGTGCACCTGTAATCCTAGCTACTTGGGAGGCTGAGGCACGAGAATCGCTTAAACCTGGTAGGTGGAGATTGCAGTGAGCCGACATCACGCCACTGCACTTCAGCCTGGGCAACAGAGCAAGACCCTGTCTCCAAACAACCAAAAACACTCACACAAATTCTTCCTTCAGTGTTAATACCGTAGGGTAGGTGGCCAGGTAAAAACATTCCCTCATGTTGCTGGAATCAACTGTGAGTGAAAAGGGGCTTCCTAATCTTATTAAGATCTGCACTTGTCAATGTAAGACAAAGAACTCCTCTTTTTTAATCTGCAGATGACTTTTATAACCAAGAAGCATGTTCCAAGCTAGGAGAATTTACCATTTGATGATTCTGTGGTGGTTTCCTCCACAGCATGCGTGCTCCTTTGGATGCCTGCAGGGGTGGTCATTGCAAAGTCATCATCTGTGCTACTGGGAGTTGGGAAGTGGCCTGCTGGGGTTCCCTGGATGGCAGGATTTACACCTGCTTGTCCTGCTGGAAGCCTTCCATCCTGGACATTTGGATTAGCCCCTGCCTGACTGGTGGGCAGAATGCTTCCCGGGAACAAGGAATGGATGATAAGGCCTGTGAAGATTTGTGGGGCCAATGGCTGGAATGAGGGAGGCAAACAGAAAACAAAGTTAAAAGCAACACATTTTAAAGCCATTTCTCTTTTGAGGGGAGCAAGTTTGGGTAGGAATGTCAAGAAGGAGAAAGTCAGAGAAGACAGCAAAAATCTGGCATTCCTCAGGAGAAATACTCCCTTATTCCAGCCAAGCCTGATTCAATATTGGTACTCTTTGGTATGCTCCATTTCCCTCAGAAAGGGAAAGCCTGAATCAAGCCAATAATAAATTGTTTTTATTATTATCAGCTGGATCTGGAGGTAGAATTAATGTGGAAAAATCCATACAATCATGATGGGCTTTATCTCTGTTATTAAACCTAAAATGTAATCTTTGTTTTGCCCATAACATTGTCTTTTCAAAAAAATATCATTTAAGAAATTAAAAATTAATGGAAAAATTGATTCAAGTAGATCAATTAATCCTGATGGCTTTCATCCCTTTAAATTTTTTTTCATGATGGGCTTTATCTCTGTTATTAACCTAAAATGTAATCTTCCTTTTGCCCATAACATATTTTTTCAAAAAAATATAATTAATAAGATTAACAATTAATGGAAAAATTGATTCGAATAGATTAATTAATCCTGATGGCTTTCATTCCTTTAAGTTTTTTTTGATGTATTTTTCTTTTCTTTTTCTTTTTTTTTTTTTTAAAGATGGGGTTTCACCATGCTGGTCAGGCCGGTCTTGAACTCCCGACCTCAGGTGATCCGCCCGCCTTGGCCTCCAAAGTGCTTGGATTACAGGCGTGAGCCACCACGCCCGGCCGACTTGATGTATTTTTCAAAGGCATTGGAATATTCATTCAGAAACATTTATCCTGGCAATTCAGCTATTGTGTATTTATTGAGGATACATAAAGAACTCCTCACTATTGGAGTTTTTCATTTTTGGAGAGATTCTGATTGAGCAGGTCTGGAGCAGGACCCAGCAATTGCCTTTTTAACCAGTTTTTGATGCCATCTGGATTTTCTGAGAAAGGAATGAAGTTTGGGAAACACTGTGTTACATTTAAGAGATATTGAAACCAGAATTAGACTTATGCTGGATGACAGGTAGGAGTAGAGTATAGACATTTTCAAACTGAGGGTTGTGATATCCAAGTTTTGAAGTAAAAAAGGTGGGTGGCAGTCATCATTAAACAATAAAACAGAGAGTAGACTAGTAGTGCATTCTATATAGTAAAGGTGAATACTGTTGTATGAAATGTGTGTGTGTGTGTGTGTGTGTGTGTGTGAAACTGCATGAAAAATCTACTTGCCATTGTGGGTTGTATTAAAAATGTTTGAAAAACCGCTAGTGTAGTAGATTAAAAAATAGCTTTGGATCTGGATCCACTCTCTTCTTGTTATTGTTGCCTTTGAGGCCTTAATTACTTAAACTCTTGAACTTCAGTTTCTTTATCTGTAAAGCTGGGTCAAAAATATCTGCCTTGTGCTTTGGGGTAGGTTGAAGGCAACATATGTTAAGGATCTGCTAAAGTGCTGGATATATGGAAGAACCTCAGTAGCTGGATATGGATGTTCATGTATCAATGTTGGCAAAGCAGACACTAGCCCCATTTGATTATTATTTACGGACAATATAGAAAATATCTACATTTTTTCATAACAGAAAAGTTGTTGAATAACTCTGTTTCCAAATATTGCCTCAATTCTGTTCTGTTGTCATGTTTAGATATCATATTAATTCAAGTCCTTTTCTCTAAAAAAGGACCTATGGAGGAATGCATAGAAGTGCCTAACCAGGCCAGGTGCAGTGGCTTATGCCTGTAATCCCAGCACTTTGAGAGGCCAAGGTGGCTGGATCAAGAGATCAAAAGATTGAGACTATCCTGGCCAACATAGTAAAACCCTGTCTCTACTAAAAATATAAAACTTAGCTGGGCATGGTGGCACGTGCCTGTTGTCCCAGCTACTCAGGAGGCTGAGGCAAAAGAATTGCTTGAACCTTGGAGGTGGAGGTTGCAGTGAAACGAGATTGCGTCACTGCACTCCAGCCTGGCGACAGAGTGAGACTCTGTCTAAAAAAAAAGTGTCTAGCAATGATGATATGAACTTGATTTAGGGTTCCGCCCTCCAATTTTTTTCTGTGTATAGGAAAGAGTTCATTGATCACTATCTGATGCTGGAAAATATATTTTTTTCCATAAAAATTAAAAATCCAAGTCAAGAAATTTAATCTTTCCTGTAAAAAGTCAGTATTTATATTATTCTACATTTGCATATGTTACAACAGTTAATAATCCTAGACTGCAGTCCTTATGAAGTTAAAAATGTGCATTGGCTTTCTGAATAGAACTGAATCTCATAGCAATAAATGGAAACAAAAGCTAAGTTAATTAACAGAAAACTAGCTGAAGAAGTATAATGAAATCCTCAAACAAAGCAAGGATAATTGAATTCGAGAAACTATAAAAATGTTCAGTTCATTGTAGTACACATCATATTCAGGATTTATGCTCAAAAGAGACTAAATGAGGACAGAAAACATTGTGATAGAAGTGAAAATAATTTGAAATAGTATTTTAATTTTTTTTTTTTTTACCAATTCCTCTGAGCTTAGGATAGTGCCCTAAAAGCAAAATGATAAATACAAATTGTTAGACACATTTTAATATATTTGTAGTAATATATGTATAACATCACTTAAAAACTTAAAATACTTCCAAAGATTATAGAGATTTTGCCTTTCCAATAATATGTTAAACTGCCTTATGATCTGTATTACAAAACTCAAATCAGCATATGATGTACGACTGCTAATATTCATTCTTTGAGTAATATGAGGTCATCTGCATACAAAAATTATATATTTTTTCTATCATTAAGTAGATTTTCATTGAAGAAAACTTAAGCAGAAAGCAAGCTCTTATGATTATTGTGTCCATATAGTGCAAAATACATTGAAAAACCTCACAACTATCTAGTGAATTGAGGTAAGAATAAATGTTTCACACTGAAGTGATTTAAAATCAAGACAATATTAAGCATAATTTTACCTGGGCTCCAAGGTGTGTGACAAAAATTGGTAACATCTGAAAAGAAAGAGAGAAAAATTCATTCAAAGGTAAGCTCTAGAAGATCGTATAAATATTGATACCTTCTTTTTTTTTTTGAGATGGAGTCTCACTCTGTTGCCCAGGCTGGAGTGCAGTGGCACAGTCTTGGGTCACTGCAACCTACGCCTCCCAAGTTCAAGCAATTCTCCTACCTCAGCCTGCTGAGTAGCTGGGATTACAGGCACCTGCCACCACACCCAGCTAATTTTTTAGTAGAGATGGGGTTTCACCATGTTGGCCAGGCTGGTCTTGAACTCCTGACCTTGTAATCTGCCTGGCTTAGACTCCCAAAGTGCTGAGATTACAGGTGTGAGTCACTGCGCCTGGCCATTGATACCTTCTTAAAAGAATATAGTATCTGTTAAAGAGATATTTATTACTAATGTATTATCTGTAATCATAGATATAAATTCATAGATCTGATGGGAGTTTGGAACTTTTCCAACTTACAAAAAGAGTATCAGTCCCAGAGAGATTTAGAAACCAGTTCAAGAAAGCATATTTAGAAGTTAGTAAACTGGATTAACAACAACAAAAAAATGGTCTCAAGCAATCTCCAAACTAAAAATTATTTCAAGTAACGATGTTAAAATGCACAGATTTCTTTCATATGGCATCTCAGAAGACACATTAAAACATGCAATGGCTATTTTCAAATGTGAAGATTTCTTGAGGCTTATATATTTAGTCTTGCAACAGTTGCCTGGACATTTTGCTGTTAAAATAAAGCAACTATAGAGAATATTGCTCAGTAACCCTTGGCATTGGCATAGCTCTTAGACTAGGCAAGAAATAATTCAAGGGTCACTGATAACTAACTAAATATTATGAATTTAGTTCATAATATTTAGGATGAAATAAATAAATAAAAGGATGAAAAAGATTTGAGTGAGGTGTTGGTATGCTCCAGTACTCTCTGCTACTCGGAGAACTGGCCTGAAGTTTGTCAAAGAAAGCTAAGGTTTAAAAAATTTATTCTTATTTCTATAGAAAATTCAAAGTGTCAGGAAAGTCATCAAAATGGGACTCTTAATTTCATAATTACAAATCCAGAAGATTTGAAAGTCTTATGAAATAGACTCTTAACTATTGTTTCCCAAGACAGATGGTGCTGCAATTATGGAACTATGGAATGCCAACAAGGAAAAATTACATACATTTATGAAAAAGCCTTAATCTCAATCAGGTTCTTACTGACTGACAAAAAAGGACATGGGAACAGGAACAAAAACCCAACTAGCTTTCACGGTGGCAATGGGAAAGTGGCTGGTACATTTTGGATTGAAGAGAAAATGAGATGGATATTTTTTCTTTAATGGAAAGTTGGAGTGGAAAGAGCAAAAAGATAAAAAGAGGAAACCATAGCTGTCTAAGTAAAAACTGTAATGAAAGGTAATCGAATTGTTCACCAATATAACAATAAAGAGGACTTTTTGCTTAGCTGTTGATAGAGAAATAATTTGAAGTTGTTAACAGTTAACACATCGTACATTTATTATGTGGTAGGCATTGTTTTAAGTGTTTTCCATATATTTATTCATTTGATCTTTGTATGGCTCTAAGGGAAGGTTCTACTTTGATCCCATTTTAAATTTTGAGCAAAATGAGCCACAGAATGGTTAAGTAACTTGGTCAACATCATATAAGTAGTAAGCGTAAAGAGCATAGAGCTGATATTTGACCCGAAATTGTGTGGTTCTAGAGTTCACCAACATGTTTCACCTTTCTCTGATAAAGGCCACCAGTAGGTGTCCAGGTTGTGGCAGAGATTTAAGCCACTCTGCACAGGGAGAGGCAGGGTTGGAGGGACTACAGTTGCCCAGGAGAAGGTCAGGTATGGGAACCCTTGGTGGTAGCACAGCCTAGAGACATTGAAGAATTCCCACAGTAAATGGGGATTGATTTATAATATTGCATAGAGAGTGTACAGCGTGAAACTCTCTATACTGAACCTTTTGTAACATCACCAGGTTCCACTAATGCCTTAGGGAGATGCTCTCTTGGGAACATGAAGATGTATTAAGTCTGCCTTCAAGGTTAGACGAGGGCAACAATGGAGACTGAAGCTGAGCAATCATTATGTAGATTATACTGTGATCACCTGTTACAGAGAGTCTCCTTTTATTTGCGTCTTTCTCAAATCTTTTTCTGAGGGTCGCTTTTATTATCAATTTTTTTGTTGTCACGATAGTTTGTGTGTCTTTGGCCCTAGAAATTCTATTCATTCTATTCCTAAGAAAGGAAATAGCCATTGGAATAGTCATAGACGTCGTCACAGGGATGCTCACTGTAGTGTTTATAGAAGCAGAGACTTAAAACCCCCAGATTTTCATAAGTAATTTAGTATACCATGGAATACTAAGCAGTCATTAAAAACATTGTAAGTGAATATTTTAAAACATGAAAACTATTCAAAAGAATATTTGTGGAAAAAAGCATGTTACAAAACATTAAATATGGCAAAACAATGTTTCCTTTAAAAATATACTTACATGTACAGAAAAAAGACTGGAAGGAGATACTCTAGAATGTTGACAGTGTTTGATTGCGGCTAATGAGATTTCAAGTGAATTTTACTTTATTTTTTGCTTATATGTAAATTTTAGAGAATTTACATTTTCTAAATTCTTTATAATTGGCATATATTACTTACACAATACTTCTACAAAATATTAGACCACTATGTTGGATGATGGGGGCTGAGGTCACATGTTGGGGAGAATAAGTTATCTACAAATAACTTAGTCAAGTTGTAAAAAGATTATTGTATTTTCCTCCAGAGCCTTTCTTTCTTTCTTTCTTTTTCTTTTTTTTTTTTTTGAGACAGAATCCCCCTCTGTCACCCAGGCTGGTGTGTAGTGACACAGTTGTGGCTCACTGCAACCTTGACCTCCCTTGCTCAAGTGATCCTCCCAACTCAGCCTCCTGAGTAGCTGAGACTATAGGTTTGCCCCATCATGCCTGGCTATTTATTATATTTTATTTTTTTGTAGAGATACGTCTCACTATGTTGCCCAAGGCTGGTCTCAAATGCCTGGGCTCAAGTGATCCTCCTGCCTTAACCTTCCAAAGTGCTGGGATTATAGCATGGGCCACTGCGCCCAGCTCCTCTGGAACCTATTTAGAAAAGTTTCAAGAAGATAAAAATTTGGAATTTGTTCAATGTTAAAATGCACATGCCTCAAAAACGGGTGATGCCTAAAGTATGTCATTTATATCTTAGTGGAAGAGGATTTTCAGGTTTTTTTTTTTTTTTTTTTTTTTTTTTTTTTGCAAGTGATAATGGGAGGTGGTAAATACTGAAAAGTCCTTGGGGACTTTCAAAAGGGAATGTAAAAATAGGGGACAAAAATAGGAAGATTAGATTTGCTGAAGATAAACTTTATCCACCTCTTAAGTTTTCTTTGAGATTATCTTGGTCACCCAGAAAGTCTTCAAGAGAAAATATGCTAGAAAAAAATCCTGGGATCTCTCAATTTCCCCCGATATCGTTTTCACTTTTCAATCTTCCCCAACTTTTCAAGGTTTCCTATTATCCATTAAAAATGTATTCTAGAGACGTTGTGGGGTAGCATGGTATGTTTTCATGCTCTGAGTATGTTTTCATGAATTTTCATTAAGAACCAGTTTGCCAAATACCGTTCTATGTTCAGTAGAACATTCATCAGCTAATAATCTGGGCACAATTTTTGAGAAGGTTTAAAAAATTCTATTTCTACTGTAGGCTTTCACCTGAGAGAAAAAGCTCTCTAATGTTAAGACTAAAGTCCAGCTGTTCAACTTACATGTGGTTGCAGTTGCTGTTGTACATTCAACCCTCCCAGGGTCAATGGGTGTGTCTGGGCACCAGGTGTCATTCCTGCAGCAGGATTTAACTGTAGGGTAAGGAAGAAGACTTTCATTGTATTTTTTTTCCAGTTTGAATATTTAGGAAACTAAAATGTATTTGCTAAATGTAAAATATATCTAAAGGGAGGATTTGCTATGTAAATACATAGTATTCTGTTGCATGTGTACTTAGACGCAAAGATGAACTTTAAAGACTTACTTAGTCTGCTGCTACAAGCACAAGGGCTACTGCTGACTTCTCCCCTGGGAAGTTTTTTGTTGGCATTTAACCTACTCTGTTTGAGAATTACTTAGGCGATTTATTTTATCCTTGCTTTTCCTTTTTGGCTACAATAGTTGTTCCTGAAATTTTTCTGATAGCTTTTTTTAAAATTAAGAAATTAACTCCTCTAGGTTACCCATGAAAAGAATAAGGTTCAGAATAAATATTTTGTGTGAAACATTAACTATATTTAAATTTGACCACTAAAAAATTCCACTCTAAATCAGGAAAGAAACTTATTTTTTTCCCAAACAGATTATACAGATATTCTATGAGAAGACTGAAGATCTATACAGATATTCGATAAGAAGGTGCTGAAGATCTTTCTATCTCTTCCAGTTTGCTTCTGTCATTGGTGGTGATACTAGTGACTGTGTTTATGTGGATGTGTGGATGCTGTATGGGCATTAAGGAAGGTATGGTGGAGGAATGGAGAGAGGAGGAGAAGAGAGTAGAGAAACTGGAGAAGGAAAGAATTACGTTCATTTGTTTAGAGACTCTTGCTAAGAAAAACTTTTAATGATGTCCAACTCTCTTGGACTCTTCTCTCCTGTCTTTCAACTTATTTACATGAATAGGTGTGTTTTCATTTGTGGATATACACACCCATATGCATGCTCCCTCCACCGTAACGTTAGGCATTATATTTATTTCACAATGGGTATTAAAATGATATAAAAGATTACTTACCAGTTGCAGATCTTGCCCCAGTGTAAGCACCTGTGTTAATGGTATCAGACTTAAAGAAGGGAAGACCTGCAGGGCATTGAAAGTGATGTATGAGACAAGAGGTTGTCTGCTTCCCTTGCTCTGTCAGTGGTGGATATCCTCATGTAATTGACACTCCTGTCAGAGGTGGATTTACCATGAAGGTAAATAAAGATGAAGCATCTTTTGGGGCCCTGGGAGGTACCCTAGCAATGTCTCAAGCTTATGGCATTTAACGGCTTAAGAAAATTTGTGATTTACTCTTATTTCTTATCACATTATAAATATTTATTTCAGTACCTAGTTTTACGTATCTAATTTTGTATTTTTTTTTTTTCTTAAAGAGGGTTCCCAAATTGTATAAGATACAGATTCCTTTAGGGGGGGTGAGTGGTTCCTGACTTGAGTGAGTGTTCTGTAATGTCTGTTGACTGAAGGGAAGCCTTTAGATTCTAATGTTATCTGATTGTACTACTTCACAAAGTGTAGAAGTAGGTAAGTCATGTCCTTCACAGCAGAGGAAGAGTTGACCTGGGAGGGAGGTTAATAGCCAAAAACAATGCAGTTTTCAAAAGTATTTAAATATGCCCTGAGGAAACAGATTGAATAGCAACACATCAACACATCAGCAGCAATGAAACTTAGCAAAACCATGAAGTCTGCAGTTATTTTTTTTATAGAGCACTTCTGATTCCCTGCTATCACTGGCAAATATTGCATATGGTAATACCATAGTATCTCAAGGGCATGGAAGACCAAGCTTCATAAATAGACGTAGCTATTGCTTTTCAAAGTTGACTAGATTTCATTGCTAAACCAAATTATTATTTAGATAAAAGAAAAAAGAATTAGAGTGCTTTACTTTCCCTATGCACATTATTTGGAAAATTATATTGGTTCTTTTCCTCACTCCCAAACGAAAAGCCTCTCTCTCTTGTTCAGCCTTGTACGGTCTTTGTGTAAATTTTGATTTTAAATCCACCAGTCTTAACGTGTTTTATTTATTTGTACATGACTCTTACCTGATTTGACTGCTGTTGGTTTAGTAGTGTTGCCTGATCCGGAGCCAGCTTTGTGGGAGGGAGTCCCAAAGCAGGTTTGAGCTGCTTTTGTGAAAACAAATACATATTTGATGAGGCAGGAATATGTTGAAGGTTTTGTATCCATTTATGTCCAGGTCATCCTCAATGCTAAAACGTCCATCTTTAGGCTCTGTGTGTTTTAGAGGAGTTTAACTCCCTGAAACATTATGTGCATGGTAGGACATGCAATTGCAGAGCAGAAAAATGGCAGCCCAGGAGAGGTGGGATGGTGTGGGCGGGAAGGAGGCTAGGATGCACCTGAGCACATGGGATTTCTTGTGGTGGTTCCTGGCTCCCATTTAATTTCTGTACGTGCCTTTCTCTTTTTCCAGGACATGAATATGTTAGTCTGTGCCTTAGCTCTGTGCACATTTGCTTTTTCTCAGGGCTAGAGGCAAGCTGCCGTCATTCTTACTAACTTTTCATGAAGCCTCCCTCTTTTGTCATGCCTGCCACATCACTCTTGTAACAGAAGTTCAGTTTTCTTCCTGGCCTGGATATTTTATTCGTGTATTAAGAATCACTGAATTTTAGATCTGAAAATATTCCTCCTACACATTCGGTCTAGTTGTATCATTTTGTTTAATAAATGAGGCAACTGATGCTTAGGTAACCTGCCCAACATAACATGGTGAGCAGCAGAGCCAGTGCTAGGATCCCTTTAAGTGCTCTTAGTCTCTGAAGAAGAAAACTTTTCTTCTGGCGGGTTAACTTAGTCTGCTTTTGCTCCTGGAGGCATCCTGTAAGGCACAGGGGTATGGCCCTCTGGGTCTGCACCAGCTCTTGAGTCACCTGAGGTTACCCTGAAGTAGGTTTGGTTTTACATTGGACTTTCCCCCTTAGTTATAAGAGGAGAAGTTGGGGCTGGGTGCGGTGGCTCACTCCCGTAATCCCAGCACTTTGGGAGGCCAAGGTGGGTGGATTCACTTGAGGTCAGGAGTTCAGGACCAACCTGGTCAACATGATGAAATCCTATCTTTACTAAAAATATAAAAATTAGCCAGGCATGGTGGTGCATGCCAATAATCCCAGCTACTCGGGAGGCTCGGGAGGCTCGGGAGGCTGAGGCAGGAGAGTTGCTTGAATCCAGGAGGTGGAGGTTGCAGAGCGAGACTCTGCCTCAAAAGAAAAAAAAAGGGGAGAAGTTGGTATTGTCTGTTCTAGGAGGTTCCTTTCAGCTTTAAGATTCTATATATACACATTTTATTAGTATGGTGTTTTTTTAATCTCCCACAATCTATTGTTAGCATAACAGCCAGAGTGACCCTGTGAAAACAATAGTCTAATCTTGTCACTCCTCTGCTCAGTCCCTTCAATGACAGCCAAGTTTTTTTCATTCTTTGCTTTTTTTTTGTGATAAAGTCTTGCTCTGTTGTCCAGGCTGGAGTGCAGTGGTGCAATCTTGGCTCATTGCCACCTCCGCCTCCTGGGTTTAAGCAATTCTCCTACCTCAGCCTCCCAAGTAGCTGAGATTACGGGCACACACCACCATGCCCAGCTAATTTTTTGTATTTTTAGTAGAGATGATGTTTCACCATAGTGGCCAGGCTGGTCTTAAACTCCTGACCTCAAGAGATCTGCCTGCCTTGGCCTCTAAAGTGTTGGGATTATGGGTGTGAGCCATTGTGCCTAGCCAATGACTGTCAATTTCACTCAGTAAAAGCCAGAGACCCTACAGTGGTCTACAGGGTCTTCATGCTCCTGGCCCCTAGTAGCTCTCTGATCTTTCCCACCTCGTTTCCTCTCCCTCACTCTGCTCTAGCCATCCAGCCTTTTTGCTGTTTCTGGGACAGGTAAAGTGCATTCCTGCTTCAGGATCTCACTTCCACCTGTTCTCTCTGTCTGGAATGTTCTTTCCCCAGACATTGGCTTCATTCATCTGCTTTTTTACTTGAATTTCTGTCTGTTGAGGCCAAACCTGACTGCTGTCCTGAATATGCAGCCTGCCCCTTCTTCGCTGTGCACCACCTGGCCTGCTCCATCCTACACTGCTCTGGGATTGTTTTTTCAGTAGTGCTCACCATCTCCTAGCCTGTCATTTGACCTATTGATTTAGGCTGCTCACCATTTATCATTTGTTTCCTTGCTAAAATATAGATTTCACAAGGACAGCAATACTGTGGTTTATTCAATGATCCATCCCAAGATAAATCTCTATCTGGCATATAGTAAGCAAATATTTTTTGAAAGAATAAAATCTTGTTTCTTCCAGGGTCTTCACTTTCTGTGACTTTGATTTGTCATAAATATCTATCTATCTATCTATCTATCTATCTATCTATCTATCTATCTATATTTTTTTTACTAATTGTGTTTTCCATCTGGTACCTATCCTTAAATTTTTGATCTACTGAAAATAATTGCTAGGCTGTTGTATGTGTCCATATTTGCAAATGGATTAATTCCTCATACCATTATGATAACTCCATACAATTCATTTACAAATAATAAAAATACCTTGTCTATGTGTCCTGATGTTTCATTTGGTATTGTTTCTACAGGAATAGACATTTCAGTGTTGCCTCCCCTGCCCCACTGGCTCTCTAGCTGCTCTCATTGTCTATTAGCATTCTGCTGTAGCCTGCACATTCCACCTCAGCCCACCTCACATGAGAGCTGCGCTCCTGGAAGGTTTTGCTTGTCTTGAGTTTTCACCAATTATGTGGACATTTAAATATACTAGAGAAACTGTATTTTGAAGACTCTTTTGGTAAATGTATTTGGTGACATGAAAGAACCATTTGTTTTATTAAAAAACTAACTTCTTACTTTACCTTGTTTAGAAAGTTAAATTTTTACAGACAACTTCTTTCAAGGAGGACACACACACACTCCCACACTCACACACACACACACACACACACACACTCTCTCACACACGGATGCATTTGGGAGGTAAGAAGGAGGTTGGTTACCATATCTTGTTTCATCCTCCCCTGACATAATCCCACCCTGTTCATTTCCTTCACATAACTAATCACAGGTTATTACTTATAATTTAACATTTCTTTAAAAAATCATTTGAGCAAAAAATAAAAAATTAGCAAGTGACACTGGTGAAAAGAAAAGATTAGAAAAGTTAGAAAAATAAATAAACTGATTAGTTTATAATCCTTGTGAACACCATGAAGGATGATGCCTTTTTTATTCCTTCTCACTATTGTTTCTTTAGCAACTAGCACAATGTCTGACATATAGAGAGTTTTTAATAAACACTTGTTGATTGTATGGATAGATGCAGAAGTTTTGAGCAAGCTTGAGGCTCAACTAAAAATGTTTTCTTTTATTCTGCTATTTCATAGCAAGTATATTGTAATTTTTTTCCTAATGGTCTTGAACCATCTTGAACAGTCAAAGAGAAGTCCACCAAGAGATACGAACCATTCATCTCTATGTCTACAAAATAATGGAGTAAGTGTTCAACTTCTAGTGCTTTTTTATTTTTTTATGTGAATACTATTGGTGATGAAATGTTCTAAGTCAAAAATTTTGATCATTTTATGATACCAAATGCCTTTGGTATCCCATGATTTGGTGGCCTTTTTAAGAATTTATACAGTCTAGATATTTAGTATTTTCAAGTAGAAAAATTAGAAAATATAGTTTACCATTTTATTCATGAGCAAACAACTAGTTGCCAAGAAAAAAAATTCCTTTTGGAAAATAAGATAATCATCTACTTAAGGCTTTCATTTGTCTCCTAATTTCTAGCCTATTGCTCTGCCAAAAAAACTGACCTTTTACCACGATGGAGTGAATACATTTAAAAAATGTAAGTACATTGAAATATGTACCAATACCTTATTAGCCTGCCATTTTCTGCTTTGGAAAATAAACACTGGATACTCTGAAGGAATGAGTCACAAACAGAGCAGTTTTGACGGAGGGCAGGAGAGAGGTGGGTTCATAACTAGAGATGCTGCTGAAGCTGGTTGGCATGTAAAACAAGTGTAACATACTTACTGGTAATGACTGAGTTGATCCCAGAAGACAAAACAGTAGAATGGTAGTCTTCATGTTTCAAATTGCTACCTACAACAACAAAACAGTGTTAATCTTCCACTGTATTTTTTTTTCCTTTTGAGAGAAAAATGTTATTTTAAAAACAAATGTTCTCATTGAAACACTGTCAATTAATGTTACCTTTGTGTCCAGGAGGTACAATGTACAATACTCAAGGTCCAGTTGATTTCTCAAAGTTGACTCTGGTGAAAAATTTTACCCTTCAATGATTTTATGTATTTGTAGAAGAAATTTAAACTAGTTCCAGGAGATTGGAAATTGAGAGACCAATCAGGATTTAGCTGTCTGTTAAATCATTTGGTTTCTTTTCGTTTCCCAACATTTCATTAGGTGGGTTATTAGCTGCAGACATTGTATCACCCAGTGTCTACCATTTGAAAAGAAGGTGTTTCAGGGAGACATGCCTTATGTAATTAAAAAAAAAGATGCAGACAATAAAAAAATGTGAATGCTTCTTCACTTCCATCTTCTTCCCAAATGATTTCTCAGATGTGCCTGTTTTAATCATCTAAGTAAGAACATACAAATCAAACATCAAAATTATAGGGCTCTGTGTGTAGTTTAAAAAATTAAGTCTATTATGTAGATTGCCCTGGAACTTATGTTTATTTAACAAATAATGGACAACTTTATGTGTTAGTACATATAGGTTTATATTATTTAATGGTTACACATCATTATATCATATCACATTTATTTTTGATGAACATTTAATCTATTTTATTTTGTAGTTACAAAGATGTCACAAGCACCATTCTCATAAAACCTTTTTTTTCACACATGTGGGAGTATTTTTGTAGGTGTTATTCTTAGAAGTAATGTATTAGAGGATATGCACATTTTACATTTCAATAAATATTGACAAATGGTGAATGGCTTGCTTTGTATTAAACAGGGAAATGACACTGTAACCTAAGGAAACACAGGGAATTTCCTGATATTTATTTTACAAGAAGAACAGTTAAGTGCTGCTTACCATTTTACCACAAAGCCCTGGGCTTCACCTGGAATTTTTGAGATATGCCACAGAAGGAGATGGGGGTCTGTTCATCAGTTTCTGAGGACTTATCAATGATAAGCCTGTGTTGCATCAGGATTTAAGATTTGACCTTTAAAAAACAAAAAACAGAAATACCTATAGAGTGTCTATTAATGGAAAATTGACTGAGATGGTGAGGCTTTTTTTCCCAAAGCTTCTCTCTAACTAACTGTTTAATTCATAGTCGATGTTTGTTACTCTGATTCTCTGTTAGCAATGGGGAACGCTATCTAGGAGGAGAAACTCAAGATCAACAAGTAGATACAAATATAGGAGTATACACAGGTGTAAGAAAGAGTGTGGTGAATTTTGTTGGAGGCAAAAGGACAAGAAAAGCTTAAAAGAGGAGACCATCTTCGAGTTGAATTTGAAGAATTAAAAAAAATTCATTAAGAACACAAGGAGAGCACCCAACCGATCAAAGGTCTAGATTTGAAGTAGTAACATTATTGTTTTCTGTCACTGAGACAAGAGGGGGTGAGGATAGCAGTGGAAGACAGGGTTGGAGATGAATATCTAATTTTAACTACCTAGAAAAGTTTGTTTCTCTCACTCATTTTGGCACTTGATCGGATATTACTTTATATGACTTTTAAAATTATTTCCTGAATTTTTGTTTCTCTCGAACTAGATGGAGAGTTCCTGGGGCCCCATCTTATATTTCTTTAGAGACTTTCATGTTTACGAGATTTTAAAGCATCATATGGTCATTGCATGTTGATGAATAAATGGTAAAGGCATATACTATGGGGAAACAGAGCAAGATTGAGTTGAGGGAAGATTTTAGAGAAGATATTGGGCTTTAGGTTGACTTGCACAATAAATATAATCAACAAGACAGACCAGCATGTAAAGCGGGTGATATTGAGAGGAGCAAAAGAATATAGCGCTGAAAGATGTGGAAGGAATGCGGAAGGAAAGCAACTTTATGTTCTCATGGGCTTTCACAGGCAAATGCATTTTTTTTTTTTTTTTATTCAGCCGGTTCATTTTTCCAGCCCATCATTTAACATAGATTAACTGTTTGTTCACTAACATTGTGTCAGCCTCTGGGATAAAACAATTAATGGAAGGGACAAAAATTCTGCCATCAAAGAACTTAGGTTTTGTTGGGAGAACATTAAATATTCAAGCAGGTCATTGCAAGGGAGGGACCCCATGACACTGGGCATTTACTTTCTTTGGGCATTATTTTCAGTGAATGTAGAGAGTAAGGAGCTTCCTAAATTTTCTTTTTTTTGGGGGTGGAGGTAGAGTTGAATTTTATGTCACTGTTGTTCTTGGCTTAGGTGTTCTAGTGCTAGTCTAGAGTATGGTTCTACACAATAGCTCATTTGAATTGAATAATTATTTGTGACTGAGTATCAGGTGATTCAGGGACCTCACAGTGAGTCAATTGCTTGTTACAGACATGACTCCAACCCTCAGCAGGAATGGGACATGCCCTAGCCAGGAAACTGAGCAGTCAGTGGGATTAGATCAAAATAAACAAGCAAAATTAAGAAGACCAAGTAATTTTTTTAGACAAGAAATTTTAAGTCTGGAAGCAGATAGCTTGCAATAATGTAATTATGGAGTTGGGAGTCAAGAAATACACAATGTAAAAGAAAAAAAAAATCTTAAATCATTCCAAAGCAAGGAGACATCAGCAAAAATGGTGAGATAATTTAAGTTTCCAAAATGACATAGAACATCAGGATTCATTAAAGTGTTTTATGAATTATAGGAGACATCTCTTAGCCCTATAGACCTAGGCATTCCTTGATATTTCTTACTAGCTTAACTAAAGAAACATAACTAAATGTTTCTTTGGGTTATGGACCCTTTTGAGAAGCTGATTGAATATACATATCATCTCCTCAGAAAAATGCACATATGCTCATGAATGCAATACACATATCATCTCCTCAGAAAAATGCACATATGCTCATGAATGCAGGGATTACGGGATAACTTTGGGAATTTCATGGATCTCCTGAGAGCCTAACTATAAAGAAACAGGTTAAAGTCTCTGGGTTAGAGGCGTCTTGGTGGAATTCCTTAGTGATTTGTGTCACCCCTGAACTTTCTAGGATTTCTCAAGGCAAGAAACATACCCTCTCTCCCACTGCACAAGACTCAATGGATATAGGAAGATCTGGGATTACCTAGACCCGAGGCACTCTCAATCTAAGAACATCTTTTTGGCAATAAAAGGATAAGACAGACTATATTTCCTTATACCACTTGGTAACTCATCACAATGTCAAAAGGATTCAGGGCACAAGATTATCATTAATTATAGTAATAGCTTGATTGAACAAATTAAGTACCTTGATAATTGGGATAATTGGAAATAATATCCAGCAGTTCCTGATGCATTGTTGAGATTCACCTTGGGGTGGCTTGCAAAATATTAGGGAAATATTACAGAAAGTTATAGATTATAGTCTCAAACCTTTTGGAAGGCCAAAGGTTTTATTGGGACAGGCCAAAAACAGCCAGTCCATGATGTTAGGGAAGAGATAGGGATAACAAAAGGCTTTCCCATGTTGAATCTGTTTACCCCACATCTCTTGGTTTCTACTCTAACCGTTTACTCATGGAAACTTTGTGCTGGATGGACCTCTCAGGGGGAGATCAAAGGGGAATTACCTGTTAATAGTGTTTACATTGGGTCCCCAGAACCTAAAGCCTTTATCATTTGTAAAGCCACTCTTTAAACCATGTTAGTTAACTACAAGGGTGTTAACTTAAAACCTCTGTTATGAAATTGATATTGAATAAATGGGAGTATGTGGAGGGAGTCTTGGTTGATTAGCTGCATTTAACCCTCTGAAAGCAGCCGACAGCTATCCCTAGCCCACTTGAATCACTTAATGGTGTGAGAGTGCATTTATTCATCTGTCTGAGTCAGGGTCTGCAGGACAGACCTTCGCAGGTGGTGATCAACATCTCAGGTGGTGACTCCGACGTGATCAAGGTCACAATGCATGGCAATCCCTAATACCTTTAAACATAAACTTCCACTGTACTGGACAAGGTATTGTCCAAGGTGCTAGGGTACAAAAGTGAATAAGATGAAGCCCTTGTTTACACACTTGTGGAAAATGCAGCAAGTATTGTATCACTATATAATGTGGTAGAGGTTAAATGGATGTTAAATGTGCACAAGAGGTCAGAAAAGAGCCACATTATATTTTGAACATATTGTTCTGCATTCGTTCCTGTTATTTTCTCTGCCTGGAGTCCTCTTTTTTTTTTAATCCCTGACTGTCAATGTTTTTACTCACCCTTAAAGATCCTTCTTTATGATACCACCTTCATTAAGTCTTTCTTTGTTCCCCTCATTTAGAGTTAACTGTTTCTTTCTCTGAGATGTTTTGGAATTCACAACTTTCTTGTTCATTTTATTCCACCTCTCCTGCTGCCATTGTTATTTGACTACTGTTTTGAGATATTAAATTTCAAGGAAGATTATGTGTTTTGATATTGTCTTTAGCTTTCAGCTTGAATGTGATAGAACAATAAATATGGGTTGAATTGAATTGACTTGTTTGCCTTTATAAATTTACAGAAGTATTTAAAATTGTCAGCCAGTTCTTAGGACTCCAGAGGAAACTAGGACGTATGCTTGGAGGCCGTCAGTAGAGCCGTTTCTCTATGGAGTAGTTTTGCAGGTGCCAGAAAAACAGCCACTGAATAAATGTCTCTAAAATCCTACTAAATAGAATCAAACTCTACAGATTTTTACTAATCTTTTAAAGTTTTGCTCAGAAGGGTTATCAGGAAACGATGTTTAGACTTCTTAGCAGATTGAGTTGACCTTTGTCATAAGTAATAAAGTTCAGTGCACAATATCATTAGAAATGTGGACATACTATACCAAATTTACTTATGCAACAGGGTTAAACTTGAAAGAGTGAGGTAACATTGTATTCTGTCTATGCAGACATCATTCTTTCTTTCTTTCTTT